TCCGCCCCTGCTGGCTGTGTGATTTGGGGCAAGTCTCATCCTCTCTGAGCCTCAGTGTCCTCTGTTAGGCCCTGGGCTTACGTGACTCAAAGGCTTGTTGATGAGGATTACATGATAGACAGCTGCTCAGAGTGCATTACCTGTGACGGTGATCACCCTGAGTTGTGAAGACTGCGTATGTGGGTTATGTGCCATTCCCGAAGATTCTTTCCTTTAGATATAATTAACGTAAATCATTGTATTAGTTTCAGGTGGATAACATAATGGTTCGATGTTTGTAGATGTTGCACAATGGTGGCTGCATTAAGTCCAGTTAACATCCATCACCACACAGTCACCCCCAGGGAGGATCTTAGCCGAAGCCCTTGACCTGAATGAAGAGGGGGAGGGTCAGGTACAGTCTTAGTGCCCCCTCCCCCCACCCCTAGGGTGGCAAGCACCTCATTAATTTACATTTATTGAATTATAAATTTTAAATATGTTTTTAAATTGGTTTTTTTAGAGAGAGCAAAGGAGAGGGATAGAGAGATGTAACATCAGTGAGATCGATCGGCTGCCTCCTGCATGGCCCCTACTGGGGATCAAGCCCAAAACCCAGGCATGTGCCCTGACCGGGAATCTATCCCGTGACCTCTTAGCTCATAGGTCAACGCTCAACCACTGAGCCACACTGGCCCGGCTCTAATGACAAGTTTCACTAATTTGAGCTGATGAGGGTGGAGTTCATCCTTCCCGCTGTGGTGGCGTTACTTGCTGACTCACCCTCGCCCTTCCCCAGCTGGAAGCAGCGTGCCCTCCAGTGGGCGGGGCTCACCCTGCTCTGCTGCCTCACCTACACTCTGCCCCCTCGCAGGTCCCAGATACCAGCTCTTCTGCACCGTTTGGGTTTTCTGCTTCTTTGAGAACTGCAGTCCCTTGGATGTGTCTGTAGTCAACGCTCAACCACTGAGCCACACTGGCCCGGCTCTAATGACAAGTTTCACTAATTTGAGCTGATGAGGGTGGAGTTCATCCTTCCCGCTGTGGTGGCGTTACTTGCTGACTCACCCTCGCCCTTCCCCAGCTGGAGCAGGGTGCCCTCCTGTGGGCGGGGCTCACCCTGCTCTGCTGCCTCAACTACATTCTGCCCCCTCGCAGGTCCCAGACACCAGCTCTTCTGCACCGTTTGGGTTTTCTGTTTCTTTGAGAACTGCAGTCCCTTGGATGTGTCTGTTCTCTAAGCTGCTCTCCTGTCACATTGGAGAGTGCGTGTGGGGTAAGGCCCGGGCAAAACGGAGCAGTAAGAGGAATGAAGGGGGTTGATGGGCGGGAATTAGGGAATTCATTTCAAAAGGAGCAGAGCTCTGCAGGGCTTCTCTATATTGTATTCCGTTTCCTTACAGGCACCTTCCAAGGAGAGGGAGGGGCGGAGGTGGTGAGGGCGGAAGGCTTCCTGGGGTCGGTGGGCCCACAGGTGGGCTTTGAGGGTCAGCAGGGTGTGTTGGGGGCGGCATAGACAGGGCAGCTAGTGTTGGCTGAAGGGAGATTAGAGAGTAAGTTTGGAAAAGAAGCTAACGACTAGATAGATGGTAGGAGACCTTGGATATGGAGGGTCAGGTGTCTGAGCCTGAATCTTTAAGGCTCTTTCGAAGGTTTTGACAGAGGACTGTTGGCATGGAAGGTGCATTTCAGAAGGAAGAGTCTGGAAGCTGCAGCTGGAGGGAGTGGACGGGGGAGGGTGACTGGAGGCAGGGGGACTAGTCGGGAAGATGCTCTCTGATCTAGGGGTGATCAGGCGCTGGTATTGGGAGGAAGTTGTGTGTCGGTTACTCCATCCTTCCCTGTCAGCAGTCGCCTGGACTGCATCCACTTGAGCGAGAAGGTGTGCTGTAAGGAAGAGTCTTACAGTATGGACCCTCCGCTGGGTCCTTCTCTGTGTGTGAGTGCCCACTGCATTGGTCATTGGCCCCAGAACACCCAAGCCCAGGCTGGGCGGCATAGACAGGGCAGCTAGTGTTGGCTGAAGGGAGATTAGAGAGTAAATTTGGAAAAGAAGCTAACGACTAGGTAGATGGTAGGAGATCTTGGATATGGAGGGTCAGGTGTCTGAGCCTGAATCTTTAAGGCTCTTTTGAAGGTTTTGACAGAGGAGTGTTGGCATGGAAGGTGCATTTCAGAAGGAAGAGTCTGGAAGCTGCAGCTGGAGGGAGTGGATGGGGGAGGGTGACTGGAGGCAGGGGGACTAGTCAGGAAGATGCTCTCTGATCTAGGGGTGATCAGGCGCCTGGGTCTGGCGCTGGTATTGGGAGGAAGTTGTGTGGTGGTTACTCCATCCTTCTTCTGTCAGCAGTCGCCTGGACTGCATCCACTTGAGTGAGAAGGAGTGCTGTAAGGAAGTGTCTTACAGTATGGACCCTCCGCTGGGTCCTTCTCTGTGTGTGAGTGCCCACTGCATTGGTCATTGGCCCCAGAACAGCCAAGCCCAGGCTGAGTGATTGTCCCGTGCCACCTGGCCAGGCTGGTGGTTTAAATCAGGGCTTCCCAGCCTGTATGATGACAGCCTCATTACTCTGCAGGTTTATTTGTTTTAATTTCTGAATTCAAATTTTAAGATGATGTGATGGTGTTATTCGTGAATTTCCATTCCCTTTTGTTCTTTGCTCTTGAATTATACTCCCATCTACTCTGCCATGACCTCGCTGTTCTCAGTGAATAAAAACTTAACCAGAGTATACATTGGAAGGCCAGGCATAATTTATCTCTCTCTCTTAACTTTTTATTTGGAAATAATTACAGAATAGTTGCAAAAAGAGTACAAAGAATCCCCATACACCCTTCACCCAGATTCCACAAATGTTAACATTTTACCATGTTTGTTCTATCATTCTCTCTCCCTCCTCCCTTTTCCCTCCCTCTATACACACACACACACTCACACTCACCCACATACCCACACACACATCCTCACACACTCACACTCACACACACCCCACACACACCCTCCCCCTCCCCCCAACGCACACTGATGCACATTCACATACACACACTTTCCCCTCCCCCCACTCGCACACATTCACACACATACACAATTTTTGTTCTGAACCATCTGAGGGTAAGTTGCAGACATAATACCCTTTACTTCTAAATACTTCAGTTTGCATTTTCTAAAAATGAGGACATTCACTTCCATAGTCACAGTGCAAGGATGTGGTCTATGTACTTCATTCCAATCGTGCTAAATTGCCCCAATACTGTCCTTTGTAGGACACCTCCCCCATCCACTATACAAGCCAGGCTCCGTGTTTTATCCAGTTGTAATGCCTCTGTATTCTCCCTTAATCTGGAATGGTTTCTCCGAGTTTGTCTTTCTTGAACTTAACAGTTTTGAGGAGTCCAGGCCAGTTATTTGGTATAATGAATGGCCCACAATGTGTGTTTGTTCAGTGTTTAAGCATGATTAGAGTCCGGTTATGCATTTTGCTAGAAAGCCCCAGAAGTGACTTTGTGTGCTCCCAAGGCGTCGCCTCAGGGTCCGCGAGGTCCGCGTGTCCCCTTGCTGGCGATGCTCTTTGTTCTAAGCACAATCACCACTGTTCGGTGGTCACCAGAAAGAAGAGATCGGGAGTCGATCTTCAAAAGACAAAGAAAGGTAGAACTAAGTTAGGGATTCCTCTTTTTCTCTTTCTTTTTTAATCCAGGCAGTTTGGGAAGCTCTTACGTAGCTGCGTTTTGAGAGAAGTATGACATGCATTAGACAACATTCAAGCCTCATGGCAGGAGGTACCAGTGAGGATAAGGGCAGCAACTTACCACCCGCACATGCCCTTGCAGTTGGCCATGGGAATGTTGACATTGCCACCGTTCCCGAGACTGGAGCTGTGGCCACAGGAACTCAGTGGAGTCCGATTCTCTTCCTAGAAAGGAGGGAAATGGCTGTGACAAAGTGTGAAGATGCCCCAGAGGAAGTGATGCCACCTGACACCTTCACGTGAAAGAAACCTGGGCGATCACTTAGATGCTTTCCGTCTTGTGAGTTGTTGGGTATTTTCTAGGTCATAGCACAAAGGAGGTTTGGGATCTGGCCACTGGGGCCTCATGATTTCCCAGCACAGGCACACATAGACCTGCATCATCGCAGCAGGTGGCAAGGTGAGTGGGTGGTGGGCTCGGCTGTTGCAGGTTGTATTAATTTTAGATAAAATGAAATCAGTGTTCCTACGGACAGCCACGTTACCGAATTATGCTATTCAGTTGGGACTGACTCAGTTGAACAAAATGGTACTTTTAGAGGTTTTTAGGGTAATGAGAAAATGGACCTGAAATTAAGATTCTCTCTTGCAGTTTGGACGAAATAATTTCTGTGAAGAGCAATGAAAAGGTCCATGTGAGAAATTCACTTGTGCTCTTTCATTAGCAAGACTCAGTGACCTCACTTCCCTGTTACGGGAAAATGTGACTTTCTGCAGGTCCGTGTCCTCTGCATTATGTGATTTATGCTTCTTTGTCATTGTTGGTTTGTTGTGTGTGTGTGTGTTTTAACGTAATGGGAACAGAAAGAAGAGATCGGGAGTCGATCTTCAAAAGACAAAGAAAGGTAGAACTAAGTTAGGGATTCCTCTTTTTCTCTTTCTTTTTTAATCCAGGCAGTTTGGGAAGCTCTTACTCCAGGCTGCTCTGGCGGGGAGGAGCTGTGTGCTACGTGTGGCTTTGGAGGGGCAGACGACGTCCTTCCTGTGGGTGTGGCCCTGAACAGGCCGGGGTAGGCCAGCTCGGCCCACCTCGTGAGGATGTCCTCAGTGGGGCCAGACCTTCTAGGCATCCCTGACATTGGCTGGCTTCTGGGGACCTGGCTAGATGTTTTTAAAAACCAGGCCATTTATGATGGGCTGCGTGCCAGTTCCATGTGACTGCCCCTGGCATGGCGACACCCACATGCTCATGACCAGAGTGACTTTTTTGTCCAATGCTATCCTGTAGAAAAGGCACATTTTGGACATTTAATCAACCAGAAGGACTAAGAACTGTTACTAGGGACTGTTGTCAGGTGTCCTCCTAAGGAATGAACGGTAGACTCAGGTAGGCACTGTGTGAGCACTCCTCCTCCTCGTACACCAGGGACAAACGCCCTGAGCCGGGGCCTTTCGCATTCCATTCCACTCAGAGCCTCCCATTTCCTGGGGAAACGCCCCTGGGAGCTCAGACCGCGGTTGGGCAGAGTTGCTATGAGGGTGGGTGGGGGTGACTCGAGAGTCAGAACCACAATCGTGCCCAGCGCTGCAAGGGCCTCTTGATCAGGGCTTGGTATGTGGAGAATGGGGAGCCGGGTTGGTAAGCTTTCTTCTTTTCCTCCCAAATTCCACCCTGATAACAACAGCAAAGCATGTTTGACCAGCATGGCATGGACACGGCCGAGCGTTCAGGTTCAGGTGCCAGGGAGAGGAGCCGTTGAGCGGGGCTCCGAGCAGCCTCCGTGGCGATGTGTCCACACACACCGAGGACTAGCACACTCTTTCTATTTGCGACTCGAGTTTAGTTTTGAAAGAACACAGCAGGCCTTTGGAAGGCAGTTTAAGGAACGGGCGTGGAGGGGGGTGTGGGGGAAGGAAGTCCCAGCAGAATGCTCTTAGACATTTCCTGTTATATAAATGCTACATACTTCTCATGCCTGCAGACTTGCAGCAAATGGGAAGGAAGCCCGCGGAGGCTTACAGTTAATGACTGTTACAAAGAAAGAATGTAGGAGCCGTGTAGGTAACGAAGGAGCCTTGAAAGCTGGCACCGAGCGTGCGTTTCCCTTTTCCAGCCAATTCCTGTACGTGGCGTCTGAATACAGGGTAGAATGACATGCACTTGGACAAAAATAAGTGTTTGATTTTTTAAAAAGTGCTCTTTGTTTAATTCATAAGACTTTCTGTTTTAGTAAAGAAGTCCATCTCCGGGTGGACATTCTGGATGATAAAGGGCTTCATTTATTTTGACCCAAAAATAAACTCAGTACATTCATGTAGCAATAGTGCCATGTGTGTTTGTGAGGAACGAAGTGCAAGACTGGTATTGCGGCCCTTGGGCTGTCCACTCCGCGCCCTGTAGTGTGTTAAATTCTTTTTTTCGCTCAGTTATGTTGCTTCTGTTTTTCCCTACTTTGACACAGCCAGGTCTGTCTATACCGGTGGCTGGAAGAAGCGGCCAACGAAAGCTTTTTCCCTCTTGTTTTCAGAAAACTAATAGAACACGCGGGGCAGTTCGTTGTCTGTGGTGGCCTGTGGACTTCAGGGACGAGAGTAACGAGGGGCGTGTAGATATTTTCTCTTATGTAGATGCCATGTCTCTCAAGTTCACTGCGATGTTCCCGTGTGGATCAAGACAGCCTTGCTGTTCAGTGTCTGGATTCGAGATCTGGCTCCATCACGAAGCAGCTCATTCTGGACAGCGCTCTTCGTTCCTGTGAACCGTAGTGTCTTGTGAAGTGGGGACTCCTATGGCCTCACCGGGTTTTTGCACACTAAGGAGTTAGAATACATGGCTGGAGCAGGTCTGAATCCGTGCGTAGGTGAAGCACGCTTCAGCAGGGCCATGGAGTTCTTATTTTTCGTTGCTGCATAGCCTCAAGTCATGTACTCATTGATTTTTAAATATTAATTCAGTATTTGTTGAGTATGTGCTATGTGTGCTATTCTCTGCACTCCGGAGGACACCGGGATCAGTGAGTGTGGGTCTGAACCGCAAGGTGTCTAGAATGTAGAGCTAGAAAGTAGTCGCCATCTGAAGACAGGAAGAGAGGCAGTGCTGTGGGGTGCGGCGCAGTGGACCCCGCGGGGTCATGGTAGTGTCTCAGCCCTCCATCCCGTGATCAGAAGCGCTCCTGAAGGGGAGCCTCACTTTTCAAGGGACGCCTCCTCGCGATGGGAAGCAGAGCCCCCGCGGGGTCATGGTAGTGTCTCAGCCCTCCATCCCATGATCAGAAGCTCCTGAAGGGGAGCCTCGCTTTTCAAGGGACGCCTCCTCGCGATGGGAAGCAGAGTTCTGTGGAGCTGTGAACAAGGCCCCACGTGGTTGGATGCCATCGTATGTGACCAGGGACGTTTCCTATCAGGACACGCGCCATCGCAGTTTGAACATCTCTGAGTGAGATGACTCTTGGGTGTGGCCATGGAGTGTGGTTCTTCTCCGTGGCTGGTGCTGATGTAAAAAGGCAGGCCCTGATCTGAAGCAGCGACTTCCATATATGAGAGTTAGACATGCCTACAGCTCATTTCTGCATCTAGTGTTTATTGGGAACCTACCACTACAAGTGAGGCATTGTGGGAAGTGTAATGCTGACTCATGCAGGCCTCAGACTGGTTAGCCTGTGGGGCACATAGCTCAGATACACAGCAAAAGCAGTACTCAAAAGGAGGTGTAAATGTAAAGTGTGACGAGCTTTAGGGGAGGGAGAGGTTATCCAGTAGATGTGCTTTTGGGTTGGGCTCTGTGTAGAGCCCTCATGGGTTCCGTCTGTGTGTTAAGCCCCAGTTTACTGCTACCATCCCTTGTCCCATCCAATTAATATCTCCTTTCACTCAAAATTGTCCCACTTTGGCCTGGCCGGTGTGGCTCAGTGGTTGGGCATCGACCTATGAACCAGGAGGTCACGTTTCGATTCCTAGTCAGGGCACATACTAGGGTTGTGGGCTTGATCCCCAGTAGGGGGCGTGCAGGAGGCAGCCGATCAGTGATTCTCATCATTGGTGTTTCTATCTATCCCTCTCCTTTCCTCTCTGAAATCAATAAAAATATATTTTAAAAGTGTTGTCCCAGTTTGGATGATAAAGTATGTGGTTCCCTGTCTTTGAGGATTAGGTGGAACTTGCCTCTGCGGAGAGAGAGGACAGTCAAGATGACACCAAGAACAACATGGGCAACAAGGAGAAGACGCTGGTGGAGTTAGGAAAAGCACGTTTAGTTTGGAGCTTTCGGAACAGCAAAGGGAATCCCTGGAAAGAAGGCGGGAAGGCGGGTTGAGGCCAGATGCTGCGTGTCCCAAAGCAGACCAGACACCTTGGAGTCTATGTAGCTAGCAGTGGAAGTCAGTGAACAGTTGTTGTTTTTAAAGATTTAAAAAGACCCTTGTATGTCCTGCCTGATACAGCACAGGACTCTGTTGGGTTTAAAACAAAATGGTCAGGGGCGACTGCCAATTAAGGCTCGTTTAGATTCCTATGTAGGTCAGTGGGAAAGTAAGACGTGAATGGCCACAGTTCTGGTGAAGTTTTGCAGAATCTAAAAAATCATTAAGCTTCAGAGCATGCTTGACTTTGGATCGTTGACTCAAACCCTGCTGCTCTATGGGTGAAGAACCAGCAGGCAGAGGGGTGGTTCCGAGTTGACGCTCCCCAGCCAGCCGTGGCAGAGCCCAGTGGGCACCTGGCGCTCTGATTCTTCATGTTGGGTGTTTCACGTCACCACGGAGCCGTGTCTGGGGGACTCTCTGTGATTAACTTCGGCCCAGTCCCATCAGGGTCTGTGTGTCTCGGCTTAGTTGTGATAGAGTAAAGAGGTCTACTCTACTTCAAGGCTGTTGAAGCTTATTTTTTAAATCTCTAGTGCCTAGAAAGGCTTTGGAGAGAGCAAACATGAAGAAGGGAGGTTGTTGCCCGGCTGGCGTGGCTCAGTGGTTGAGTGTCAACCTATGAACCAGGAGGTCATAGGTTTGATTCTCTGTCAGGGCACATGTCCGGGTTGCAGGCTCGATACCCAGTAGGGGACGTGAGGAGGCAGCCGATCAATGAATCTCTTCCATCATTGATGTTTCTCTTTCTCTTTCCCTCTCCCTCTCTAAAATCAATAAAAATATATTTTAAAAAAGGAAAAAAAGGCCTGGCTAGCATGGCTCAGTGGTTGAGCGTTGACCTATAATCAGGAGGTCATAGGTTTGATTCTCGGTCAAGACACAAGTCCAGATTGCAGGCTCGATACCCAGTAAAGGGTGTGTAGGAGGCAGCCGATCAATGATTCTCTCCCATCATTGATGTTTCTCTTTCTGTTTCCCTCTCCCTTTCTGAAATCAATAAAAATATATTTAAAAAAAAAGAAAAAAAGAAGGGAGATTGTTAAACCCATCGTTCCCTCCCTGTATGCCATTGTGTGTTGGAGTGAACACTGGCTGTGGTAGAAATCCTTAAGGATAAAAATGAAAAAGGACATTGGATACCATTTTCACATATTGAAATGGGGTTTTAAATTATGGTATGTGAAGAAATACAAGAGTTTTAAAAAATTATTGTTAAATGTGAAATTCATCTCTTTACAGCATGAAGTATTAAGTCAGTATCTTTGTATTTTTAAAACCATTTTGAAATAGTAAAATGAACAAAACATCAAATAAGTTACAAGCTTCCCAAATCATTGGCATGTGAGAACTATATTTTACTGTAATTACATGTAATAATTATGGATACTCATTGAAATTAGATGTGTTACTAGCTGTTAAGGTTTAAGGGAGACTGACAGTATGTTTTGTATGTTTTTTATACCTTTATGGAAAGTTGAGTTTTTTTATCATTATGTTTTTGGATGTCCTTCTGAGAAATCTTATGAGAATACAATTTTGGAGTTACCATGCTATACCCAAACAATGGGGTGAATATCTGTATGCATACAAACCCAATTTGTTTATGTCACATTGAATTTGTGTTAAAAGAGTTAACTCATTTTGGAGATTCAAGACCTGTTGTAAATAAATCAAGTGCTACAACTTCTCTTAAACCAGTGATTTACTCAATCATGAATTGTTTCATAATCAAACAGACATATCATGTAGATTTATGTTTCCATTCCGGGAACACCTTTGAAACCTGATTCTAGTTTACTTTAAACAGGTAGATGTTAAGGGAGGTAGAAAAATTACGATGAAATCAATACATGGGCACCAATTTGGGCTTCAAAAGAAGAGTGCACTTCAAAAGGATGATTTTTTTCCTTTGGAAAATAGGTTTTCAAGTTACTTAGCGAATAGAAGGTTGGTTGGAAAAATGAACACAAAGCCGCTGCAGAAATAATGCTGGAGGGTTCTTCCAGACGCTTAGTAGCTCGCAGAG